CATATCCAACGGAAAGAAATGACGATTAATGAAAATTCCACCATTTTGAATTTCTACCATCAAGAATTCTCGAAATTAAATTTTTGATATTATCGCTGCCCTTTTATTACCAAATTAATGAGGTTTTATTTTTCATTTTTTTTTTAATTTGGCAGTTACTTTGAAAGAAATGCCCGCCATCAAATGAAAAATACATTTTTAAATTGATGTTTGTCAAATTCGATTTTTCGACACACTTCGCTTGCATAACCACTCTGTGTTTGAGGAATTTAAAAATAAATTATTTATCCTACCACCACTGAAAGACACTGATTACGATATAGCGCTCTCGATAATTCCCGAAGAACGCCAAATTGAATTATGTTAATCATGTCATTTTGCCATGGCCGATTTTGAGTATAATTTTGTCTGACATATTATCATTGAACCAAACGGCATTGATTTCTTTTGCAATTTGTTTAGTATAAATTGTAGTCCGTAAAACGTTATACCAAGAAAAAAATAAAACGTTTTGTTAAGTAAAGCTACATGACGCCATGACGTCATAGTTTTTATGACCCAAAATGGCGCCTGTAAATGAGTTGTCGCATAGAATATATTTCTATGGTTGTCGTAACTTTCCCTATACAGGGCTTTGGACCCCATGACCCATTGACGTCAATGTCATGACCTGTGATGTGTAGATCACGTGATATGGATATCATGGCTATTGACTGTGTCTGAGATACTTCTCCGCAGGTAGCTGTCTCAGATGTTCAGAATGCAATAATTGTTCAGCTTGTGAATAAATAGAGAATCTCCTATATAACGAGTCTTTTTTGATATAAAAAAAGACGAGTAGGAGATTTTATTTATCACTCAATGCTTTCTTGCATGCACAAATACATAAATATAATTCTTTGCTATAGATTTCACTTTTAATGAACCTGATTAAATTTACGGCATTGTGATACAGCATTTTTGACAGCATTTTCTGAAAGTCAATTAAATAAAAATAGTTCCTTTTTTAATACGAAAAATGTTATTTTTAATAAAAAAACAAACTCTTCTTTGAAAATTAGAAAAAAGTAGTTCCTTTTTGATTGACCAATCAAATTTATGTAAAGCTATATCTCCTAAGGAGATGTCGCAGTAGATTATGAAATTTATCACACAGAAATGTATTACTGGGTGATAAATTTTCTTAAGTAGAATTTTGGACCCAAGTTCAGTCCAACATGGCCGCCGCATATTAATGAGTCTGCCTGGGGATAACCAATCCTAATTAACCTAACCCTAATTAACCTAACCCTTTTTAGAAGGACCCTTGGGGTTGTTATTCCCCAAGTAGACTCATTAATATGCGGCAGCCATGTTGTAGTAAATATGTAGAGTAGATATGTCTGGGTACAACATGGCTACCGCATATTAATGAGTCTGCCTTGGGATATCCAATCCTAACCTAACCCTTTTTAGAAGTACCCTTAGGGTTGTTATTCTCCAAGTAGACTCATTAATATGCGGCAGCCATGGTGTACCCTGACATATCTATTCGTTTTCGCTCGTAACCTAAAAATCTACGAATTCCCAATCCAATGTTTATGCTTACAATCTAATATTTACACTTGCAATAAGACAGCAATGTCGGGACACTTTAGTGGATATTCGTAATGTAACATAACGTTTTTGCAGAAACATAAAATGTATACGTATCATTAAAATGTACGTGCACTACTGTAATATATAATTAAAGGTCTGTACACAATAACAACTTGTCGGTAACATCTTGACTAACATTTGAGACCCGACACCATATTGATTAAAGTTTGAAAAGTGTGTAAACATGTCGAAATAATGCAAATACAATTGTATTATGTTTCAAACTGCTCAGCAGTGAATATTCGCTAGGCCACTATAAACACTGGGATGAATGGCATCGGCGCGAGTGTAATTAGCTCGCTATGTTCACTATTTTCCTTATGCGAATTAAATGCTAAAACCTTTTTTTTTTTGAAGTATTAGAAAAATAAATAAATTGAATTCCTATTTAGTGTAAATGGGTATGTAAAATAGTACGCGAAGGCGTAAAATGAGTAAAAGGCGCCATTCTGTCCGGACCAGTTTACGTTACTACGTATAATGTAAACAATGCCAAAGTTCGATGCTGCGCGATGTGACGTCACACGTGGGTGAATTTTATAAAGGCCAATCATCTTACACAGAGTTAGAAGGCTTTCACATTACCTCATGTAGCTTTGGGACAAAATAGCAGAAATGTAATGGACCCAAACAAATTTTGCCCAACATGTTGCCGAAACGGTGACCAGTGTATACAGAGTCAAAATTTATGTTGACGAAATGTTGGTCAACATGTTACGCTACTTTAATTGCACTTTGCAAAACTTCTTGATCCAAATTATAGGAGTCAATTATTACTAGGTTGTATAGTAGATTTTACACTCCCAATTCTCATAAATTAATAACAATGGACATAAAAGAAAATCATGAATATATTTAATGGTAATGTATGTTTCTTTCGACGTCAGTTTGTCATTAAAATGGCAGGGCTGACAATGAAAATGTTACATATTGTAGAAAGTCTGACGGAAGTACTCTGACTAGTGTATGATCGCTTTACGTGTAAAACTCATTCTCGGTAGCCAGGGTTTTATTTCAAATACGACCAATAAATTTACCCTGGCGTCTGCTTTGGTTTGTTAAGCCGTCTTCATTAGCCCACCAGTCAGTGCAGAACAGTATAGTAGGACGTTAAACCCCGTGTAGTTTTTTTATGGCGGGTGTAACAAACGTTAAATGGAACTGTTGATTTATTGGCTAATTCTACATCCATCTGATGTGGAAATATGTTTAACGGTTCCATTGAAACGGGAAGTGACGTCAGTTCACGGATAACGTAGGACCGATGAAATCTGCCATCACTGCATCGCAGTTCTAGTTTCCATTTATTTTACTTGTTAAGAGGATATGGTACAATGTCACAAAATGCCCGTTAAGCGTTTTTCTAATTTCAATTTAACGAAAAAAGCGCTGACATTTGCAATTTTGAAAATTAAAATCAAAAAGCTAGGTTGGTTACTGTCTTAGCCTGGATGTTTATCAATAGAAATCATTTATGGTAAAGACCTCTATAGACGAATCAACAGACGATTCCATGCAATGGCGTGTAAAAATCAATTTAAAAGTCATGATTGATTTTAGTAATTTTTTTAACTATAGGTCTTTTTGCCAAGATCATAGGTTATTCGGAAAACATGCCAATGACACAGTGAACGCAATATGTAACGTGTTGCGATTGAATGGGGGTATCCAGGAGGTTTTTAAACTTGGATTCTAATATTTATAGTTTAAACAGTTGAAAACGATTGAACAACAACCAAGGGTATATACCGTTTTTAGCGTATAAACTAGACAATAATTGTCCGGTTGACACAGAATCAACAGCATAGTATACACGATGGCACTAGCTATAATAATTATTGATACAAATATTATTTCATCGCAATTTAGCTGATATATATCTGGATAGCCCTCGTAATTAATAAGCAGAGGAAGGCGGTCGTGTTCCGTGTTCCTGCAAATGTTATTAAACTTCTTTATTATAGAATATTTATAATTTCTAAACATTTATATACACGTAGGGTTGATATATAAGATCAACCGAAAACCCATCAATCATGAGTCACTTTTCAAATGAATTCATGACATTCGCATCATTTGATGCCTACTGCGATTGTTCATTATTGTAACATTCTTGTCATTAGAAAAGACGTCATTTTGGCAAAACTCGTACTTTTAACCTTTATTAAACAAAGTTTTATTTCTAATGTACATGTTTCTTTATATTTAAATTTAAAACTTTAATTCCACTCATCGAAAAGCCGTAATCAATGCGAACATATAGATATCAAAAGATAGTTTATAACATGATGCAATTGTCCAAAAGTACCTTTTACAACCAACTATATTTTCAACCCTTAAAGAAAACATGTTTTTTTAAAGAGTGTTATTCTATACCCTTTAATAATAATGTTTCACACTTCAACATACTATCATAAATGACCATTTCGTGTAAATGTTTTACACATGCATCATGCTCATGGGACATCCTTTAAAGGATAACGGGCACCGGCGAAACCCGTCATGACTGCATAGCAGTTATAGTTTGTTTGGGGTTTTTTTCCAAAATAAATGCTGGTATTTTAATATTCCTCACAGTTCACTAGATCATAGATATTCTTAGTATTGCATTACAATATGTTAAAAAAGACAAACAAATCCAATCTTAGAAAATATAACCCAAATTGAATAATTGATTATTGTTATCTACAATTTATTATTTCAATGAGATGAAAATTATGCGAGATGTCAAGGGATGTATCAATGTATTATGCAGTTATTTTGAGAAAAAGAATTATTTACAATATACAAGTTCAAAAAATGAGATTGCCTACGCACTAATTACACCCGTAAAATCCGTTTTAAAGGAGAACACATCTAAAAAACCGGAAAAAGACAAAATTATATAATAAGCGAGACCATCCACAGCCATATATGCCGTATATTGCAATGCATAACCGTGTTGCAGACTTCATGATAATAAATTAGGCCACGTATACAGTTAGATTGATCATCACTCCAGCCTATCAACTTTAGCCTCCTTTCAAATTTCCATCACGTGTCAGTTCAGATATAATATGTATGTAGTATGTAGTTTACATCAATATCAAAACGCTACAGCCCTGGGGGCCAATTAAATATTCACGTCAGTTGGACAAAAAAACTGTGGTCTTAAATCACGTAAAAATGCAAGTTATATTCTACTGGGCCGAAACAACTTCATTTACATTTAAGTAGGCCGAAACGACGCAAAGCCAAACCAGCGACCCCCGCCCTAATCGACATTTCCAGATAAATATAGGTCAAACATGGCTGATGTTGAGTAGAGCGATGTAAACAAACTATGATTTTTCATGAGAGAGAGGTTATATAGCTTGATCTTAAATTGGTTCCCTCGTGTAAGTAAGTAATGGGATGGGAATTCCAGTTATGTCACTATAAGTTTTAGCCGTTTAAATTAAAAAATTGAAGAAATGGCAAGCAATTTTCGTGTCGCAGTGTCACCTGGAACAAACAGTAATACCGATAATGATAGAATACCCTACTGAATGATAATCAAAAGCTAATATTTGCGGTGCTATTTGTTTTGGGTGCATTTCTATACTTACCAGACTAATACATAATGTATGTTTATTGTCAGTTAGAATGCGGATGTTTGCTGTCACCGAGATGTTGATGTTTTGGGATGGGTTGAGGTTGTTGACGAGGATCCGGGATAAAAGGTTATATATTATTTTGACAAGTACTAGCTAACCCCAAGACATCCGTGTCATATCCTATATAAAACAGAACTAAGACTGTAAAATTCACTGATTACTTTAAGAATCGTAGCAGACGGTTTTCTAGCTTGTTTAACACTTTTTAGCACAGAAACTTTGAAGAAAATGTTGGCGTTCAAAGCATTAATGTGCTCACTTTTGGTGATTGCAAGTATTTTTAGTGAGTATTATAACTTTAAACTAGATATATTTTGGATGTATTTATTATGTGGGGGGTCAAGATGGCTAAGTGGGTAAGACGCTGGCTCGCTAGCCTGGAGGTCGGGTGTTCAATCCCTGCATTGGCCGAGAAAGTTAATTCAGATTTTCCGGCGTGACCCCCCCCCCCTGTCAGTGACGCAGGACGGAGGGCCTGACAAGGAAAGCTGTCTAGTCGTTCGGATGGGATGAAAAACCGAGGTCCCGTGTACACAATAGCGTGCACGTTAAAGATCCTTTGACAGTTGGAATTCGATATAAGAGAAGGCCGTAGTGCCGCTGTCCGGACAAAATTTCACTCATAGCACACTGTATGGCGTATGCCCGTCTTCATTAGCCCAGTTCGGAACAGAACATTAGGACGTTAAGCTCCATTTTATTTAATTTCATTTTTATTTATTAATCAATTTTGAGCGTTTGGGTTATTATTATTAATGATCTCAAATATCTTGATTTAATCGAAATGATTTATGATATGACAATTATCTACCCATGTTAATTCTCGTGTCGACTCATTTGAAACTCAACGGTGTTTGATATTTTATTATGAATTGGTAGAATGGAAGGGACGAAATGTTATGGGATTTAACGTCTTACTTTTCTGCACCGACAGGGATAATGAAATGCGCTATGAGGGAGATTTTACCCGGACTGCGACGCTATGCGACCCACTATTATATATATAGAATTCCAACTGTCAATGTGTACGCGGGCAAAATTTCCATCATAGCACATGTCTTCATCAGCCCAATTTGGAGCAGAACGGTAGGACGTTAAAACCCTTTTCATTTCATTTGATTTTATTCTGAGCGAAATTATCACTGTTTGAGGTTTTGGCAAGATTGTTTATTACCGTAGCAACGTTACTTGTTAATCGAAACTCGGCCTCGCTTCGCCATTTTTTAATTAAATCATTAAATGGCGATCGTATTTTAACCCATTTAAATCTCCGCCACCCCTTAATTTAGAGAGTTGATTATAGGCTTTTCATGTGAAGCCAAAATAAAACCCTGCAATAAACAGATTTAGTTCTTTCATAATACCTCTTAAAACTATTGATAAAGATATTTAAAGAATATATGTTAACTTTATTTTTTATTTTTGTTTCAGATATGGCCAGTGCCCGTACGTGCACTGGTATACAGTTAAGCAGTAATGGCTATCGGTATAATAGTCAGGTGATTGCCGGTGCCATCCATATCGTAGCTATGGACGTTGTGAGGAAAATTTCTCGTTCGTCTTGTAATTTTGAATACAGTTATGGCTATTATGGAAATACTATTTGGGTCAACCATGGATGTAGAGCAGATTTTAGAGTTTGTTATGAAGGTAAATTTCAGAAGAAACTTTGAATCATTCTAGAAATATTTTATGTGCATCAAAACAATTGTTTAGGGCAGCATGCACACAACGTTATAAATATATTTAGTACATATACATCTTTAAATTAATATGGTTTGTTTGTACATTGAAGATGTATTGACGAGCCACGGTGTATAAGTGGGTAAGACGCTGGCTCGCTAGCTTGGAGGTCGCGTGTTCGGTCCCTACATTGGCCGAGAAAGTTCATCGGGATCCACCGACGTGGTTGTTTCTTGTCAGTGGTGCAGGACCGTTCTAATCTAGTTAAAATCATGATTATCCGATGCCATCGAGAGTTGGTTATGGTCTTGGTATGTTAATAAATGTCTAATTAAAGATACATTATGAGAGTTTGGATAAAATGCTTGCAGTTCTAACTATAATAGTTAAAAACTGGATACTGTAAAGGGAATTTGCTGAAAATTTCAGTCAAATTGATCTACTATGAACCGAGATTTTAGCGATTGAATTTTCGGCCTAGCTTCGATCATTATTACTTAAGTCGGTAGGATAAAAAACATAATCTCGATTCTCCATTTCATGATTTAATTATGAATGGAAGTCGAACAGCAAATCGGCACCTAATTCAATAAACATCGCAGCCTAGTGATGGCATCGAGAGTTGATTATGGTCTTGATAAGTTAATTAATGCCTCATTAATAATTTAGATAACATTTCAGAAATGCAGTAGGCAGATTTAGCTCTTGCATAATATATGTTTAACCTATTATATATTTTATTTCAGGTACATTCTCCATAGTTTCTTGCAGTAGTATTAAGTACCGACCAGCCACGTGTCCGATATCCACTGGTGGCAAACGTATTGTTGCTCTAGAACTAAAACAACAAATATCTCGTTCAGCATGTATAAAAAATCAAAGTTTTTTCCTGGTAGGTAACGCCGTTAGAGTTATCGATGGTTGCCGTGGTTCATTTAGAGTAATATTTGCAAACTAATAATTCACACACATTTCACTGCTCTTGATTAAATGTATGAATCTCTCGGAAGACTTTGAAATGAAATAAAATATGAGTTTGAGGTGTAAACAAGTTTGAAATTTGTTGTAAACCTCAGTTTTATTTGTTAAAGCATTTTTTTCATTGCATAATATCTATAATAAAATGGTGGAAATGAAACAAACTATTATTTTGTTTTGAAATGTAAAAGTTTGAAAATTATTGTAAACGCGTATTTTATTTTTTAAAACGTTTTTTTTTTTTCATTGAATAATATCTATAATATATTGTATAGTTGTTTTAAATACAAATTATCAAACATATTTAAGATACTGTTTGAAGATATGTAAATTGTTCTTAATAATAGAAAACCCATGTTCATTAGCCCAGTCAGAGCAAAATAGTAGGACGTTAAACCCCATTTCATTTCATATCATTTTATATTATAAAAATATTTTTTTTAAAATAAATTGTAAATGATTTTTAAAAAATTATAAAATTGTTGTTTTTGTATAGCATAAACTGTCGTTATAAATCATGAACTGTTGTTGTTATAAAACATGAACTATTGTTTTTTTGTGTTTTTTTTTTACAAAACGTAAACTATTGTTTTTATATAACATAAACTATTGTTTTTATTGCATAAGCTATAATTTTTGTTGCATAAACTATAGTTTTTATTACAAAACAAACTATTGTTTTAAACTGTTGTTTTCAATGTAAACAGTTGTTTTATGATGGTTACTGTAAAATAAAATTGAAACAAAATACTGCCTTTTTTTAAATGAAATGAGCATTTCCCTAAGATAGAACTTTAACCTAGAGGATGGATTCGTAAATTATAAGGCCTAGGATCGAATTTGTGCGTAAATTATCATTTAGAAAATAAAAAGTTTTATATACTTTTGAAAACGTAGTTTTGAGATCATGCCACCATATACTAATGGTCATAAACCGTACAGCAGTACAAACGGTAATGGAAGTAGCTATGGAAGCACAATTATATAAAAATACCCAGAAAAGGAAATATCTACCAGGTTTCTTAGAAAAACTAAGCATATCCTGCATTCTGTACCACACCCGTTGCAACGTATAGCTAAACAGGGCGATGGGACATAGATTCAAACGTTAAAGCTGTGGGTAGGAGATGACCATGTATACGCGGATAAAGAACAGTTGTCGACAGTTCAGGACGGCAATCCCTTTAGTTCACACATAACTATCGCCTAGCATGTCTCAGTAGATCTGAAATGAAATGAAATGAAATGGAGTTTAACGTCCTACTGTTCTGCTCCTAACCTGGGCTAATGAAGACGGGCATACGCCATACAGTGTGCTATGAGGGAAATTTTGCCCGGACAGCGGCACTACGGCCTACTCTTATATCGAATTCCAACTGCCAAGGGATCTTTTACGTGCACGCCAATGTGTACACGGGACCTCGGTTTTTCGTCCCATCCGAACGACTAGACAGCTTTCCATGTCAGCCTCTCCGTCCTGCATCACTGACAAGGGAGAACCACGCCGGAAAATCTGGATGAACTTTCTCGGCCAATGCAGGGATCGAACACCCGCCCCTCAGTAGATCTAATTTCCATACATCCGCGTTTCAAAAGTTTGCTACGAAACTCTCTTTAAACATTTTAATCCCAAGAAAACTCCCGTAAGCTCTTAGAATCTATTTTAAGCACCCTTGTATGCCCCAAAGGAGTTGATTGAGGGAGAAGACGTCATTTTCAGGGATCGCTGTGGCCGGGTCAGATACGAGTGGATTAGGGCCCCCATATTAAAACATATACCAGAATATACGACTAATATTTGGGTGATAACGTGATGGATTTCACGCTTATTATTCAGATCCGCGGGATGGATTTCGACCAAATCCGGTAGGTATGTTATTTGGTTATTCAAATTTCATAAAACATACAGCTGTATAGCAATAAGTAAAACGACCATTCTCACGAGCCAACGTTTTCTTTCCATATACGGCCAATTTACGTTTTAATTCGGTGAAGGTTTTCCATGATTGTTTGGGTTGCCTGACATTAAATTCTGAAGAAGGCTCTGATCATTGTAAACATACTATTATTCCATAATTGTAATAACATCTGGTACAATTTTTGTAATGTAACAAAAACAAGAACTGAAATATATTCGTTAGATTGTAATCTAGACGATTAAAACAGACACATGTGGAGAAATGCCTGGAATCACAATAATCTATTTTGAGGGAATGCGAATCCGGATGTTTGCTTTCGTCGAGATATTGGTGTTGTATAAGGGGTTGGGATAATGTTACCGAGACGAATCCAGGACGAAGTATTTGACAAGTACAACACGGTCATTAAAATTGGGATTTGCAGATTAGCAGCCATTAAGAAGCATAGAACATGTTGGCAATCAAAGTATTTATCTGCTCGCATTTGGTGGCAGATGTAGGACATGCCCTCGAGATATTAGGTCGAGCCCCCGAGATACTAAGTTAGGACATCGAGATAATTAAGTCGTGCACGTGAAATAATAATGTCGAGCGCGCAGGATAATACAACCTTGAAACGGTCTAAATCAATATGAAGTCTGGGAAAAGTCATCCCAAATCATCGATCGATCGACTCGTCCTAAGCGGAGACACGGTCTCAACGACCATCCTTGACCTCGAACCAGTGGTGCAACCAGACGGGAAGGTTAGTCAGGAGCTGCAGGAAACGCACATCCTAACCTTCACTGAACTGTTGTGTAGGTACCACAACTCGTTCTTTCCGTGTTGTCCTCGCTTTTCTCGACCGAGGGCTGTGTGAGCATTGTGGTCGTAGGAGTGTATCCAAGTAGCCGTCTCGAGACACGTCGGGTAAGTGCCAGTCTCAGAATTTGATAGAGAGATGTGGAAAAACGACCCACGACGTGGTATTTATGGGGGCGAATCATTCGCCACCGAGCTAAACTCTCGAACTTTTCCACCTCGACGGTGGATAGTGCGCCCGCGTAGCCTAGAAGACGGGACACGGGTGTAGTCCCGGAATTAGAGAAAGGAACGGCGCAAAGATGACCGGCGGTACCTTTACACTGCTGATCGTCACTGAGAGTCGCGCTCTCGTGTTTTTCTTCCTGGCTCCCGGCCTTCTCGACAGTGGGAATAGACAACCGAACTGCAATATCACCCTCGCTGAGAACGGACGTTAAGCCAAACGAATGAACTAACGAACAACACACCTTTCAACGAGGTACGTACGCCCCACACTCATTGATTATGACTTGAATCCACGGGCAACGAAAAATATTGTGTAGTGGGAAACCATTCATTAAAACTTCACGTCAGAATGCTTGGTGCTGAAGGCATGTAGACGGAGCGTCCAGGTGAGAGTTAGACCAGGCACCAAAGGCATTCGTAACCAGGTGTACTGCTTGGTGATTCTGTGCTGGGCTCTCTAGGGGATCTCTTCACACTAAGTGTGATGGGTTTTGTATATTCTGGGTCTGTTTCCCAGATATGTGAACAAAGATATTGTTTATAAACGAAATATTTTATTATCTGGCGTCACTTCTCGTATCAAAGACAGCCTTCATGACTGCAGACCTTCATAAATCTGGACATTTATCTAGTTTTAAAACAGTATAATTTTATTTGATGACAATCTTCAATGAACAAAAATATTCAGTAAAAATAAAATAATGTGAAGTTGTGAAGGCTATACTCTAAGTTGGGATTGGTCTACACAGGACCACTATACATTTTTTTATTTTACGCATTGTGTGACAGTCCATATTTGCCGTATAGTGTGGAATAGTGTTCATTTAATGATAATAAAAAAAACATATTTCATTTTCTCATCAACATTGTACGAATTAACCATATAAACAAATACATATAAGTGATATTATTTTTTTTTAGTTCAAGTTTTTCTGATTACTAAAGATAGTGTTTCATTTCATAAGTATGTGGACAATTGGAAGTAAAAAGAATAAATTACAGATAAAGGGAGCTAAATGCATTTAAGCAAATCCTTGGAACACACTTGATCGACTGTGACAGACAAATAAATAAAATCCAGACGTTGTTCAGATTTTCAGGCAAAATTGATTAGCAATGGACTGGAATAAGACAAAAATAGAGAAATTAAATCGACCTCACTTCAATATTAATTGTATATTATGTTTCGGTATATTGTATCGTTTTTGCCTGGTATTGTTGGATTACGTTTCTGTGTTTAATTACGATTGGTTATATTCCGACTAAATTAAGATACTGCGTAATTTAAAACTGAAATGACAAAATCACAAATGAAGCGAGCTGTTTGATTAAACAGGGGGCGTTATTCATGAAAACTTAAACTTAAAGATTTTAAGGATGTGGCCTTTTCATTATTGGCCGAGGGTTAAAATCCTAAAAAAAATAATTTAACGAATGAAAGAGCTGCTTTCTTAAAATATTTTAGTTTTAATTTCGTGAATAAGGTCTGGGTAAACTGCACACACACTAGTTAAGCATAAAACAATGGCGTAGTGTAACTCTGTAGAGTAAGAAAATCACACCAAACACTGCAGTGAATATGGACATATTGAATATTTCTCACATTAACTGGATTTTTATGTTTTACCAACCAAGAATCTATGTTATATCACCATCTGTTAAATATTTTGAGTGTATATCCTAAAATTAACTGGAATTTTTTTTATAATTTTACGAACAAAGAATCTTTTAAACATTTTGGGTGTATATCCTAAGTTGTTTCTCTACGGCGTCGTAATTTCAATTTTGGGTTGTTATTGTTGATGAAGATGACATATTGGTTGTAGGTTACACAGTTGTATCCATCATAAGTATACATATGACACTGTGGAGATTTAGAACATTCCATGGCACATAACAGTCCTTTTTTAAATGTTGTCACTATCAGTGGCGTTGCAGAGACTGCTTTGTTCTTGATAAGATAATAATAATCCGCAAGTTTCTTCACTGGCTCTAAAACAATGAAATTAGATGGCGACGTTTAAATTAATTAGTTACACAAAGGTGTTTCATTATAAATATCAAGACTGAATAAAGAAATGAATGAGGTTTAATTTCCTACTGATCTGCTATGAGGGAAATTTTGCCCAGACAGCGGCGCTTCGGCCTACACTTATATCGAATTCCAACTGCCAAGGGATCTTTAACGTGCACGCCAAGGTGTACACGGGAACTCAGATTTTTCGTCCCATCCGAACGACGAGACAGCTGTTCCGGTCAGGTCATCCGTCTTGCACCACTGACAAGAGGAAACCATGCCGGAAAATCCCGATTAACTTTCTCGGCAAAGACCTCGAGCGAACCCGCGACCTCCAGGCTAGCGAGTCAGCGTCTTACTCACTTAGCCACCGTAGCTCCCAAGAATAAATTAAAGGAGCTAAACACCTAACTCAATATTCTGTTTACTATCCATAATCTTCGTCATTAAAAATACGAATTAGAACTCAATATTGGTCAATTATTGCGAGCCTAAATCAGTTAGAAGCTGAGCTATTGGTAGATTAAGGTTTTTACATGGTGGGAATTTTTAAAATCTAAGATGGCCGCCGTAATATATTTGAGTGAAGTGTGTGCTTTTTTACATGATATAACTGTATCCTTGAACCAGCAAATCTGGGTTTGTATATCAAGATTGCGATCCCAATTGGTAGATACATAGCATAAATCTTGAGTACCCAAGATGGCCTCCGTATAATATATTTGGAGGAAATGGTGCCTATCAATAATGGAAAGCTAAGGTAATAAGTGGCATTTGCAGAAAACTTGACGCTTTTGCCTGGAACGTTTCCACTTCGTAAGCTGCCTAACAATAGTTTTTGATGTGACGCAGAAAAGAAGATCAGTAATTGTTACTTGCTGAAACCTAGCCGTAGAGCAGTGACAGCTACACAAAATATTTCAGCTCTTTTTCGATTCCTCTGAAGACGATGATTGTAAATTGAGACTGGGATAATATTACCCATACCCAGTGTAGTACTATGGTCTTTGAGACCATATTGGGGGGTTGGGTGGCCGAATAGTTAGCACGTGCGCGTTGTATCATACGGTCTGTCATTGAGTCAACTGCGTGGTTTCAATTCCCTGGTTGTACGTGGCAAGGAGTAGGGTCGCCTGTTCAACCTCGTGGGTTTTCTCCGGGTCCCCCTGTTTCCTCCTATTGCTAAAGACCCGTACGCGCAAGCGAATTATTGAAATAAAATTGAACCATGTGTTATTAGTCCCGAAATGACCTAGCTTGTGTCGAGTAGGCGTTAAACTCCCCCCTCTCTCTCTCTCCCTCTCTCTCTCTCTCTCTCTCTCTCTCTCTCTCTCTTTCTCCCTTGCGACCATATTGTATATTTAACTAATTATTGGGTTCACATACATGTATTGTAGAGAAGTCATATCTCACGTACTTAAAAACATGATGGAGTGGTTGACACGTAAAAGATTTATAAAACCAAGACATAGATGATTCTAGGTGAACCTAGAATATCATGTTTATCACTTGTGTTGGAAAATTCATATTGCACTCTTTGGCTTAGTAAGCAGCCATCATAATTAATTACGTAATATTTGTCCAATTAATTACTTGACAGAGCTATCTCAAGGACACTGTCAGGTGTTGTAAGACTGGTTTGGGTCCTATAGATTTTAGACAGCCGCTCAATTCGGGAGAGATTCCCGAGGCTCAAGAGACACCAACTGGAATGAGTAGACGACATATGATGTTAACAATATGTATCAAGCTTGATATAAAATGTAGAAGCGAATTGACACATTGTTATTCCTGGTAGATAAATGTCTATAGTAAGAAGAATATACACAACGTGCGTCCTAGCCAAAAGAAGAGAATTACAAATATAACCATAGACAATACTGGACGATCTCAAGGCTACTCAAATATGTAGCAGAGAAGAGAATACGCGTCACACGTTGGATGTGAGGTGTTTTCGGCTTACTGGATTCCGCATCTGACCAGCCACGCGTAGCACTGCATAGTGGTAATAAAAATTCTGAACCTGGAACCTTATCAACTAAAGTCGTTCTACTTAAACAATAACACAAAATTATATTCTATTGCTTTAACCACGTGTTTCACAAATCACCAATCCACGTGTGCTCTATACGGCAGATGCGGAGGCTCAATGATTAAAGTAGTTAAGTCTCTAACTCAATATCTTCGACATTGAAAACAAGAAGTATTTGTCAATTTAAATCAACATTGATGTTGTGATCTTACCGGGAAAGGATGGGCATCTGATATCCAATATTTAAGACAAAATAAAAATTTTACCATTGGTACACGAATCGTGTACCATAATCCGTTTCAGGGCTATTTGTAACCAGAGACTCAAAGAACGAAGCTATACATATTCCACAAGTCATGTCTAACGGTGATGGCATATTCTTATTTGAGGAGCATGCGCAATAAATACTATTGGGGTAGACTCGAATAACCAGACGTTATAGATTGTCATTCGATTGAGTCTACTGGCGTATTTCGTCGAGCCTCGTTTTATTTTTTTTTTTTACTTTATCGACTTGTGTCGATATTTTTTGATATCAAAAAAGACTCGTAGGAGATTCTCTATATATATTTACTGATGAAAAAAAACCTTAAATATAATTTTTTTTTATAAATCTAGAAGACAACATGTCTTTAAATACATACCACTTGTAACAAAAGCCTCTCTACATACTACGTCTTTGTATTCGATTTCACTCGTGCATTCTTTCTGTTCCCACATACCATCTTTGTACGCAACACACTCATCGTTCTCTTCGCTCTTCATTTCAACCCCTTTCCAGTCTACAGTTCTCATCATTTCACCATCGATCCATTTAAATTTTCTATAATCTTTATCCTCGGTACCAAATCCTTCCAGACCTATCCATATATCTGTTTCGCTGTTACATTAAGTATACATTTTGTTAAAGTCATAACAGTACAAAATGATCATGTCAATGTCATGAACATAACCATTTACCCAATCTGATTAAAACACGGATCCTATTTTGTTTTCGTACTTTATAGTTCAAAATTTCGTTTTACTTGTCTTTACTACACTAGGATCTGGAAGAGTTGTTATATTACCGGCGTTCTGGTTGTAGTGAGGAATTAGCCAATGAAACGGTCTGACGTCATAGATCAAAAGCCCTCGTACGACCTCTGACTCGACCTTCCAGTACAACCGGTCAGATCTCCATGTAGTGTAGGCCATCGAATGTATAAAAAAAACGAAACGAAATATAGATCTGTATTTTAATCAGATTGCCATTTACCATAATAAATCAAAACTTTTGAAACAATAAATGCTAAGAAAATATATTGGAAGAATCTTTAATTTTATCTTTAATTTAAAGTGCAGTAGGACAGAACCGATAAGACAGACCTACGAACAAGACAAACTATATAGATATAGCAAGAAATACATCAAATCAAGTGAATGGATACGACGGTCCGTCGTAAGCATCCACTAATTATTTTGAGGTCGCCACCGTTGTTAAAAAAAACTATTGAAGCGAATCGACTGAAAAGTTACATCGGTACATGCTTTAATCAGCTTATATGGAAAGTTGAGACACTGAGATGTAGAAATTATAACAATTTGTTTTAGAGGATTTCGTTAAAGATAACTTTAGAGATAGTGGGCTTAGATTTTTGATAATAGGGGTGTCTAAGGTTATCTTAATTGGAACTCATAATTTCTTTTATTAAAAACTAATTTCATTGATTTTCTTACTGAAGTTAGTATGTTATCGAGGACCATTGACATTAATGTTAATTCTCGTCTCTTTGACCAGCTTAAACATTTCCCAAAACTTATTTGTGAGACTGAATGCTTTCTACCACTAAAGTATGAACTTCACCATGGAAATCTTGAGACACACAACTGGAAGTAGCATGTAAATATGCAACTGTCCGCCCGACATTTCAACCTAGTGAACTTCTTAAATCACTTATCGTTTCACCTGGGGGGGGGGGAGCCACGTTGGCTCAGTGAATAGGACGTTTACTCGATAACCTGGAGATCTCGTGTTCAATCCCGGCGTTGGTGGAGAAAGTGCAAGGCGTATTCCTATCTTCATTAGCCAAATCGGAGCAAAATAGTAGGACGTTAGACCTCATTTTATTTTATTTCATTTTTCCTCAAAATAATGAATATTCATCAAAACCTGCCAGAAAATGTGTATTTAAAAATAACTTTAGCACTAAATTCGTAACAAGAGTAAGAATTCTTGGTAAGCTATGTTCATATGGATGGACACTGGTAACAATTATTAGGGCCAAACTTATTTTTAGTCTTCCTCACCCTTTCCCTCTTTTGTTCGGCAATCCTTGATGACTATTTGCTGTAGAATCGAAGAAAAAGATTTTGGTGAATATTCATAATTTTGAGGTGGAATGATACGAGAGTTAAGAAGTTGGTTAAGTTTAAATGTGGGGCGGAAAGTTGCATATTTACTTGGATCTACTTACAGTTTCTGTATCTCAAGTTTTCCATGATGAACCTCATACATACTTTTAAGCAAAAGGTTGACACATCTTGCTCCATCTGTGGTAGAAAGCGTTCTACCCAACGAATATTTGGAGAACAATTTGAGCCGGCATGGTCATAAAATTGGACCACTTTTTTCGCCAATCACAATAATTATATATCTCATTTATGTTGACATAAGATATACCTATGATGGCAAAATAACATTATGTACTTGGTGGACAAAGTGGATTTAGCTACAAGTAAGAAAATACTTTCATTTTTAGTCTTGGCCAGCAACGCGACTATGTCGTTACATACTCTAAAGTTTTACTTCGATTAGACCTATTGCATAACAATATATATAGTTCATATCATTTAAGAACCGAGTCTAACGGAAGAAAACTAATCAGGAAGTAACTCTACCAAGAAAAATGTAGCAATGGTTACTAAATTGATAATGCTATTAACCAGTGCTTCGGGAATACATATGGAATAATAATATAAATGAAAATTAATAAACAGAATTCACATCTGTAAATATCTTACTCCTCAATATAGCTCCCTTTAATGTATGCTACTATTCTGTTCTGTTTCTCTTGGGTTTTAATTATAGCTAGATCTTTACCATCCTTTTGACAATCACTCCTGGCTGACTTATAACTAATCCCATATTGGCGTAATTCGAAATCAAATTCTGTAAATGTCCGAAAACAAATTTCGTTATTCAAAACATTTGAACTTCTAGTGAATATTACTTAATAGACTTTAAAGTTTAGTACACCAACTTGATATGCTGTACCGATATCCCTTCCCTGACAAGTGCACGCTTTACTCCAACTTCAATTAAGAGACAATGTTGGTGTCTCCAATTTTACACATGTTATAGAACACATTCCAAATAAAACAGATATTTGTTAGTGAATGAGAATGGTGAAACCGTGTGTATACGTTTGATAATCAACATTTGTACCTCGGTTCAGAAGAGTGATATGCCCTTTGACTGCTCGAAGCTTTATAAAAAGACAATTGTACCAGTAATTAATGTGTGTCATATATTTATTTTTGGGATTGAGGCCGGGGACACACAATCTCTTATTTTGGTTTAAAGTTAACAACAGTAGCTCAACCTAATCAATTTATTTTGGAATTGGAGGCGGGGGATACCTGGCCTAATATTATGGTTTAAAGTTAAAAATATTGGTTCAACCCAATCAGTTTATTCTGGAATTTGAGGTAATCCATATATGACCACTGTGTTGAAATTCATGGTAGCTTCTGTGCATCTGACCAATCAGATGAAGGAAGTACTTGGCCATTTGTGTGTCTAGTTTCCTGTATATAACCGTTGTATTATGGATGTTGTGAAAATATAAAACATAGTTAACCAACAAAGTGTTCCAGAGTTAATTGATCATATACACAACATGACTGTAGTGTCACAATACAAAGTAAAGGAACTCAAAATGATCTTAGGACTATGATTCGTCCATGAGAGACGGTTCCGTAAGAAACTAGTAACAAAGATATCTTTAAATGCGCTTAACCAGTTCCATCAATTTTGTAAAACTGGTTAACACTATCATTGTCCTTTAATATCCACCTAGAAATAACGGGGGAAAGAGAGAAAAATGGTGTTTAACGTCCATCGACACAAACTAGGTCTTGTCGGGACTAACATATGGTTCAACTTTATTTTTCAATAATTCGCTTGCGCGTTGTGGTCTTTAGCAATGGCAGGAAACCGGATGACCTGGAGAAAACCCACGAGGTTGAACAGGCGGCCCTTCTCCTTGTCACGTACAACCGGATAATAGAAACCACGCCAGTTGACTCAATGACAGACCTTGTGATACAGAGCGCACATGCTAATCATTCGGCCATGCAATCTCCCTGAGAGAACGGAGATTGAAATAGAATCATATTGGGTAGAAACACTTTGTTTCAAAAGACCCACAAAATTATTTTTTGTTTTTTGTTTTCGATCAGAAAGGGCAGTTGAGCCCGATCTTCTTTGATGTACCCAATCGTTCGAACGGGGCGAAAAACTAAGATCCACACATATACACATTGGCGTGCACGCACCAGTACCCTACAAAATTGTAAATCGAAGAAGGGTTAGTGGAAACGCCGCTGCCAGAGCTATATTCGCCGACAATCGCATTGCAGACATGTCCACAAAATACCAGAATTTAATCTCAAAGTGACCAAAGTATGGTATTGGCAATCAACTGTAGAACATCCCATTGCATCCCAAAGGGTCAAATTGTTCTTTACTTTTGTAGGGTTTTGCTGCAAATCAATAGAATACGATTTCCAAGATCCCCAAATAATATGAAAGTGATATCTGTCTCCATTGTGTAGGCACAAAATTTAAAAAATACATACACGAAAACGAGTCTTACCTGACTTACTGTAATTAACACATATATAATAATTCTCTTTATCACATTCATCAGTCTGCCACAGATGATCACCATCTTTGTCTATTACAGCACATTTACGTTTATGAGGCTCAGTTAGTTTATCCTTCTCCCAAAATGTATTTAAAGTTTCACCAGTCAACCATTGAAACTGTAATGCATTTGTTGGCTTTCTAAGTCCAATCCAAAAATTCTCAGATGTCCTATGTGTGAAGAAAATCAAGATCGGTAATTAACATATTATTAAACTGAAGGGGGAAGTTCCAGGTTTCAAAGAGCATCTGTGAGGTAATGTGGTGGGTAAATGTTAGCTGATGTCAAACAACACACAACAGTTTACGGACACAGCATAGACAGGCCACCAGGTTAAAGTGAGTAGTAAATAAAAGGTCCACAACAAATGGTTTATTTACAGTTTACCAAATTGATCTTCAAAATTGCTTAAAGGTTCTTGTTGATTTTAAACATGTTTAATTTAACATCTAGAAAACTCTTGCCTGCAGCGATTGGCTGTAAGTTTTCGGTACCAGCGAGAGTAACTTTACGTATTTGCGAAAATCCAAATTATGGTAGTCTTCTTTCATATGTATATCCTAAAAATCATGGAAGGGTATGCCATAGATTTTAATCGAGAAGATAGAAAAGCAAAACCTTGAAAACTCCAATTGAGAATTACATACCTGGCCGAGTTTTAGAACTCCGTTTGACATTTTGACCTACGCATACAGTTTAAGAGGGATATTTGCCCATGTGGCAGTAACTATTACGGTGTAGTTTGTGGTACACCTTTGATAAGGAAACAATCATATAAGGCGTCTAAAGCCGGTGGGTGTCATTTGTGGGATTTCGAAAGCTAATTACAATATTGTGATAGCTGAATGGCCAAAGCAGGGGAGCCGGAACGTCCAAGGAGCAGAGGTGGGGGCACGGTGATCCGGGGTTGAAGGGAAGGGGGATGGGAACCTCCCCCGAGAAAATTTTTGATTTTGAATATCGGGTGTAGAAACGACGAAATCTGACGTCTTCTGGCACTCTACCAGTTAAAACCTATCAGATCAAGATATAACTCAGATTACTATAGAATCAATAACCGATGAGATCTGCCCCCTTAATTAAGCTACCAATGCTCGAATACATATCAATTATTAAAATCGGTGAAGATGTGAAGCGAGAAGGATGGTCAAATAATCTTACTGCTTATGTACGAAAAACATTTTAAAAGGCAGTCAGCAAAAAAGTAAGGGCAACGGGGCAATTACCCCGTACTTTGGGGGCATGGGGCATTTGTACCCATATCCACGCCGTTCCGGGACACTTGGCCAAAGGTATTATCATCCAGAAATAGTTGATTTCACTGAAAACAAGTCAACATTTTACTTACCAACTCTTTTCTTCTAAGTATTTTTCAAACATGGTGTATTCACCATACGTCGGTGCAACCGGAAGTGATTTTCCTTCAGCTTTACACAACTCTTGCGCCTTATAAAAATCAAACTTTGGACCACTAGCTGCTACTTCTAAAAAGGAATTGGAATCTATTTTTAATGTGGATTTTCTTAAATTTGTGTCACAAAAAATTACTTTAAGTAATAAAGCTTCATGCTAGACTGGCCTTCCTTTTAAAGGAAATGACGTTTAGTATTGTTTTTTTTGGGGGGGTTTTCATTTCATAGACTGAACATATGAAATGAAAGAATGTTCTACAATGATCGACATCGTGCAATGACCCACCGATTCAAGACAGTGAAACGGCAAGACGAAATCAACCAACGACAGCTGAAGGGAATATAACGTTATGTCTTTTAGAAAATCAAACAAAAGGAATGTTAATCAGATTGACAACTTCACGTAGCTAACGCATTTGGAATTCGGGTTAAATTTGGAATATTTGTTTTTATTACGAGACTAGTTCGTTGTATATGGCTTTACCCACATCATTCAAATATATTTTTCATGGCATCTGTATTCCTTCGGTGGCTTTACACTTGGATAAAACATTTTGTGGTAGCGGCGCTTGATTTTAGTCGAAATCACAAATTGCATGTTTACTTGTAGAATTTTGAGAAGTAACTATTTGAATTCTTTTTGCATATGTTATGAAATTTAAAAAGTTTATTTAGTCCGATCAAAGATGTAAAACGGATTAAAACCGCAAAACAAAATAGGACGCTACTTTTTTTCTTTTCTTTTTTCCATATGGGGCAAAGATCTATTCTCAAAATAGATAGTTCTCTGTTGATGGATATAGACTTTTGCCCCTATATCAGCGTTTACGTCTACTCTGGCATGTGATTACATAAGGTATCAATTTTTTAGTCCAGAAATGACCTAGTTTGTGTCAAGTGGACATTAAACCCCATTTCTCTCTGTGTCCCCCTTTCTCTATAAATTTGTACACGGGAACACAGTTGTTGGTGCACTTGAAACAACTAGAAACACTTAAATTGCCAAGAGAGAAACTATCTTGGAAAATTTCAGCTAGACGGTCATTCAATGATATTCTGCATAATAAAATATTTTATACGTTAAATTAAACCGTTACTTACCTAGCGAACAGAAAACTAGAATAACACGCCCTGTGAAAAGTCTAAACATTTTCTCATCTTCTGAAATACAAGAACAATAGGTTTTAGGGGTATATACATATATCAAATTCGAATTTAATTTATACGCGTATTTACTTACATACTTATAATTTGAGAATCTTGAAGAAAGAAAGCCCACTAAATTCAACTAACAGTCGGCTTTCAGATAACAATTAGCTCTGTCTAGGAATTTTGGTTACAATCAGCATATAGTTCGAGATTGTATAAAATAAAAAAAGGATTTCGATTTTATGCCTCACATGTGTATTATTTGAAGATATAAGATATAATGTCGTTCACTCTGTGATATTTAACTAGAATATTATTACAATTCCATATTTTCTACTTGGTAAATTTCAGGAAAAAAACCGATTCCGGTTAACAAAGTGAAGAAGTCGAGCAATCCCTAGGAAAAATTGGACTTGTTTTTAATGCAAATATGAAGATTTTAAGATCAATAATATACTGTTTTTTCTTGTCGGGATAAGACAAAGGGGAATACTTCACACTGTACTCGGATACGTTTACAATTCTACCAGACGGTAGATCATTATTTAAATTTCATTTCAGTAGTTTTATATATATACTTGATAATGAAATACAACAAAACAATGCTATCCTAAGAAGTTCGGATTGATCTCTCCCAGCGAGATTGTAATCTTTTGTTCAGAATACCGTGCGTATAGTTCGACCTACGTGTTCGATCTCTGTATGGGCCGAGAAAGTTCATCGCCATTTTCCTGCGTTGTTCACCATTGTCAGTGATGTAGGGCAGAGATCCTGACAGGGGACAGCGTATAGTTCGCCGGATGGCACGAAAACCAGGATCACGTGTACACCTTGACGTGTACGTTAAAGGTGCGCTATACGGGCAAGAATTTCCCTTTTGACACACTGTATGGCGTATTTTTATCATCTTAGCAGGGGTCTTTCCTTTGGGAGGAAACCGGAGTACCCGGAGTAAACCCACGAGCTTGAGAAGGCGCCCCATGCATATCTCCACGCCACATACTCTCGCACCAGGGATCGAAACCACGACCGCAAGCCAGTGGTGACCGGAAAGCTAGGGACCGAAGCGCGACAATCTAGACCACTAGGCCATCCCAACTCCCCTTTTAAAGTGTAGTAATTTGCTCCAAAGATTGAAGAGGGAAACTGAATATTGTCAGCTGTGTCTAAAGATTAAAGTGGTATCATTCAATGGAGTCTCGCGTGTTCTGACCCGTACCTTGTTCCTTTAGGCTCTTAAGACCATCTTATCTAATGATTTAACACTCACTCATTATGTATAAAACTATGGTAAATAAAACAAAACATAAAAAAACCTTTTCTCCGCGGTGTAAACCTTGTGTAAATCTTTTCTCCGTGGTGCAAAGCTTCTCCCCGCATTGCAACCCTTTTCACAGTGGTGAAAACGTTTTTCGTGTTTGTTTTGTTTATTTAGCATATGAGGTAAATTAGTAGAAAATGAATTAACGAATGGCACCAATAGGCCACCGTACACTCCAGCTAAACACTACTTTTGAAACAATAAATAACACACAGTAAATCGGATATCGTCGACTAGAACACAGGATATAAAGTCTATTATTTGATAATAGCCACATGAACAAAGCCATTCCTTTAGTATGACGTATTTTACATATCGTGTAATGCTAGGTTCCCACTGCCGTGCAATACGGCACGAACTGGTACGTGAAGATACGTTCGGATACTCTTCGAAACGATGAACACGATTGCTGCAACTAACCACAAGATATGATAAGATCACCACGATTACTCTACGATTAAAACCACGATTTCAATCGTAGCGCGAATCGTGGTAGTGGGGACCTAGCATTATATATATAGAAAGCCAACCACACATCAAACAATCAAATGACCTCGCTCGCTTTAATTGATCGACTTACATCTGATCAAGTGAACGAGCACATACAGTTTAGAGAAAATAGAATCCAACCTGGTCTCTTCAGTATGACAAAACCTTAAAGATGTATTAAGTAAGAGCTAAATCTGCAGTTTGCCGGTCTTTATTTTGTCTTCAAACATACATTTATTTACATGCCAAGCCTATAGTCAATTCGCTCGACCGCCGAATGTCTGAGATTTCAATGGATTAAAACACGCGCGAGATTTAAAAATTGAAAGATAAAATGGACAATTGAGACTTACTATAGCGCTCAGAATAAAGTAATTTGAATGAAATCTTCAATAAATTATTCATTTTTCATTATCTATTTTTAAAATATTACAGACAGAACAACTAGCTCTTTTTCTAAATCGTGCATACTACATCTTTGATTTTGTTAATCAAATTATTTAGCTCAATCTTTTAAATTAATTGTGAACAAAAATTGCAGTTGTTTACAGCAAGTGACTATATTGATGGTAAGTATTTAAAATGATATACCGTTTTCTTTAGCTAGAAAAAGGTGCACAATTGTGATAGATGAAGACCTCCGGATTGTCAGATCAGGTGGGCTAAAAGGAAATTTATTGAAACAGCATTGCCCCCTCGAGGTAATAGAAGTGGGGATAAATAAGGCTTTGGCAATTGATATCCAAATATTGAGGGCTACTAAAATAAAAGACAGTTCGGATAATATTATTACTTTTGTCGCTACCCATAGCCCCCAATATCCCAACTTCTTTACTATAAAACAATGCACGAGAGCAGGAAACCCCTGCATTAAACGACAACCATAGAACGAAATTTGACAATGTTTTTAAATGAATTAAAATTCATTAAATCACAAAGATAACCACCTAATCTGAAACGTCTCTTAAGCAAAGCAAAATTCAATTCATCTATCACAAGGACCGATTTTTATGTATCTAAATACCCCGAACTTTGATGTAAACTTTACTTTTAGCGTCAACGACAACATGAATTGTGTCACAAAAAATATCATATATAATGTCTTGACTTGCAATGATTGTTAACAATTTTACATCGGGGAAACGGGCACAAATCTACGGGATAGAGTACATGTGTAAAACACCTACAAGTCAAATTTCAAATTTTCTCGTTTTATAATATGAAAGTCGATGACTGTCGAAAAGAAAATTAATAGAAAACCATTTATTAAAAAATACGTTCCCCGACTTAATAGTCAATAAGTAACAGTTCTGTCTCTTTATTATCTTCCATTCCTATACAACAGATTAACACAAGTGTATACATGTTTTCTAGTAGTAACTATGTAATTATAGACAATGGTAACTATAGCCAATTAAAACGACAGTGTTACTATGTAAATATGTATGAATATACTTTGGTATACATACATATACAATTATTCGAGGGCTTTGCGCGTACTTAAAATTGTCCCGGGAAATTTTGCCCTTTTCGTACTCAAAATATATACATTTGATTGTGTCAGTACAGATCCGGGACTGTACAGCACAGTGGACGCTTACGACCAGCCCCTGGATCCTTTCACTTGATCTGTGTGTACGCTTGTGTTTATATTGTAGGTCTGTCTTATGTAATTGTTTGTGCCCCCCCCCCTCCGCCCTGCACTTACTTTTAACATAAACAACATTTCAGTTACAGAGAGACTATATATCACTTTCAAAAAGAATTCGAATTCGATTAAACATGTTAAGAATGCGTTTGCGAGAGAACCATGCAGGGACCGGCACATGGAGGGTGACCGATTTTCACCATTTTTTTTTTATGTATGATGGGTAACCCCTCCAAACACCACTGCCACAATTTTAGATCAATCGAACCATTTTTAGAGTGTATATACTTTCATCAAATAATTCACGTTTAAAAAATGTTCCATTATCAAAACTACAAATACTTATTACCAATAAATATTTCAAATTAAAAGAAATATCGCTATACTTTGCTATCTACTATCTATCTATCTATCTGTCTAATAAGTATCTAATCATGAAAACTGAGCTCACAATTACACCGTTAAAATTTTTAAACGATGAAGTTTGAAAAGCTTCATTTACTGTAAATGCCAAAAGAACTGTTCTTGGTAAATATAATTACTTTGTCGAGGCTAATTTTCAACATTTTATTAATTCGGCATAGTAGAAGGATGATGAATTTTTGAACAAATCGTAAAAACTAAATAGTGTATTTTATACTAGCATAGTAGTCCTATACATATGTCCATAGTTGACAAACGAATCAAGTGATATTTCAAAAAGACAAAAACAAATAGTATATGAGCGTAAGGTCACTGTAGCATACTCCTCGCAGTGTTTCGTTTAATCACACTCAACACTGTCGTAATGAAAGCAAATTTCAGTTCCAAATTATGACTGGTCAATATTCCGTTTAACAATTAATACCTAACTGCGTAACAATATCATTCTGGTTTAAACTGAGCTCCGAATATGTTTATATGATTCACGAAATTTATTACGCCCAATTAACCAGTACATAGCAAAATATTGCAGAATAAATAATCACGTGACAAACGAGGCTATAAAACGGTTACAATGTAAACAATACTGTTTGGAGACTAACAATACTTTCATCGTTTTTAATATCTTAAATTACTGTCCAAAGGTTAAGGGAAGATTCCAGATTAAACTAGGGAAGAATAGACACACTCCCTCAAAAACTCAAGTATCAGAAGTCAATCCAGCAATGGCCACAGAGGTATTTTTCAGGCCATTGTTTCAGGAATATGCTATTGTAGTTCCTTTCGGGTAACTGGCTAGTAAACCGCATTTTATTTGTGGAAAAAGACGGGAAAATGAACAGCCGATTTCAACCGCCATCTTGGATGCTGGAGTAAAAACCTAACTTCGATCTGACGAATAATAATAATATGTACATTTATATAGCGCACGTACTCCGTGCACAGAGGCATGTTCGCTGCGCATACAATTAAATTAATTTAATTAATCCTGATAACAAGATGGTTTTAATTCTTGATTTAAAACAAGAAATAGTTTGAGATGATTTAATATTCTCTAGAAGAGATCCGTATCCAAATGATTTTAATTTCCACCTTGAGCAACACAACAGATGGAGGTGTGTTTGG